GCACCCAGGCCCCAAGTTCAAGCCCCATCTCTCACACACACACACACACACACACACACACAAAAGAATGAAGCTGCACCCCTACCTCATACCATAAACAACTACAAGAATTAACTCAAAATAGGTCAAATACCTAAATATAAGAGCTAAAATGATAAACCTAAGTGTAAACATACAAGTACAGCTCTGTCACCTCAAATTTGGCAATGATTTTTAGATGCGATAACAAAAGAATTATCAACAACAGTAACAAAACACTGTAAGTTAGATTTTGTTTCCTTTTTGTAGTGCTGGAAATCAAACCCAGGGCATTGTATAAGTTAGGCAACTTTTCCACCATGATGCTACACCCCCACCTCCAAATAGTAAAAGCTGACGTGGAATGTAAATATTGTTACACACCTGTAATCTTAGCACTCAGGAGGAGCAGAGGCACGGGCTATATAGCAAAACACTGGCACTGGGGATTGAACTCAGGTCCTTGGTGCTTGCTAGGCAGGAGCTGTACTACTTAAGCCAAACTTCCAGGCACTTTTTTTTTTGGGGGGGGGGTCCGGTTGTGGGGCCTGAACTCTGGGCCTGGGCGCTGTCCCTCAGCTCTTCAGCTCAAGGCTAGCGCTCTACTACTTGAGCCACAGTGCCACTTCTGGCTTTTTTCTTTTTGCTTATGTGGTGCTGAGGAATCGAACCCAGGGCCTCATGCTTGCAAGGCGAGCACTTTACCACTGAGCCACCTTCCCAGCCCTCCAGGCACTTTTTGCCTTGGTTATTTTTTTTTTTTTTTTGTCGGTCGTGGGACTTGAACTCTGGGCCTGGGCACTGGCACTGTCCCTCAGCTCTTCAGCTCAAGGCGAGCGCTCTACCACTTGAGCTACAGCGCCACTTCCGGTTTTCTGGTGGTTTATTGGAGATAGGAGTCTCACCGTCTCTCCTGCCCGGGCTGGCTTTGAACCGCGATCCTCAGATCTCAGCCTTCTGAGTAGCTAGGATTACAGGCGTGAGCCACCAGTGCCCGGCTGCCTTGGTTATTTTTGAGAAATGATCTCACTTCAGACCCAGGCCATCCTGGGCTGTGATCCGCCTACTTGTGCTATCCCATGTCACTGGGATGACAGGTGAGTGTCACTGCTCACGGCCCTGGCACTCCCCATAGCTGGAAGAACAAGCCACCAGGCTGTCACACTCAGCCCTGGTTGAGCTGGAAGTCTCTCAAACCTCTGGCCTAGAACAGTAATCCCCTATCTCTGCCTCCCAAGTAGCTGGGATTACAGGCTTGGGCCACTGCTCCTAGCACAGTATCCAGTTTCACAAGCTGAAGTGCTTTGGAAATGGGATCTAATAAGAATGCACATCATAACTGTAATTGGAGCTACACAAACTATATGCTACATGTATTTCAGAAAATGTTTTTCATTTTCATTTATTTATTTGTTTGTTTGTTTGTTTAGTGCTGGTCCTGGGACTTTAACTCAGGGTCTGGGTGCTACCCTTGAACTACTTTTACTCAAAGCAAACACTCTAAATCTTACGCCACAGCTCCACTTGCGGATTCTCACTCTTGCCCAGTCTGGTTTTGAACCATAAGCCTCGGATCTCAGCCTCCTGAGTAGCTAGGATCACAGGCGTGAGCCACTAGCATGTATGTGGCAGCAATTTTTTTTTTTGGGGGGGGGGGGGGTCCGGTAGTGGGGCCTGAACTCTGGGCCTGGGCGCTGTCCCTCAGCTCTTCAGCTCAAGGCTAGCACTCTACCACTTGAGCCACAGCGCCACTTCCGGCTTTTTTCTTTTTGCTTATGTGGTGCTGAGGAATCGAACCCAGAGCCTCAGGCATGCAAGGCAAGCGCTCTACCACTGAGCTACCTTCCCAGCTCCGGCAGCAAAATTTAACTGAAAAAAAAAATATTTTTTCTTAACTGAAAAAATATATGGGGCTTGAACTCCGGACTTGGGTGCTCTTCAGCTCAAGGAAAGCGCTCTACCAATTGAGCCATAGAGCCACTTCTGGTTTTCTAGGGGTTTATTGGCGATAAGAGTCTGGTCCTTCCTGCCTAGGCTGACTTTGAACCCTGATTCTGAGTAGCTAGGATTACAGGCATGAGCCACTGGCGCTAGATTGAAAAAATAATTTTTAATGACTAGAAAAATAACTAATTGAAAAAACTATCTGTAAATGGTCCCAGGGGCTGGGAAGGTGGCTCAGTGGTAGAGTGCTTGCCTTGCATGCATGAGGCCCTGGGTTCGATTCCTCAGCACCACATTAGCAGAAAATTTAAAAAAGCCAGAAGTAGCGCTGTGGCTGAAGTGGTAGAGCGCTAGCCTTGAGCTGAAGAGCTGAGGGACAGCGCTCAGGCCCAGAGTTTAGGACTCACATCTGACAAAAATAAAAAAATAAAATAAGCCAATGACAGGCAAAGGACCTAAGTCAACAATTCTCCAAAGATATTCATAAGCACACAAACACATGTTCAGTATCATTACCCATGAAGAAACTGCCAATCCAAACTAGAATGAGAGACCATGGCTACGGTAAAGACGACAATGCAAGGAAGGGGACTCTGAAGCCCCATACCACCAATGGGTATGAGACAGTACACCCCAAAAACTTCCCTGAAAAATGGACGGACCTAGAACAAATCATGTTAAGTGAGGTAAGTCAAGCTCAGAGAGACGAACAGCACATGTTTTCTCTCACATGCTGAAACCAGATCCAAAATACACTGAGACATGATAACCTACACAAGACTCTAGGCAATCACACACAGTCAGACTAAAGGCGGATACTCTAAGGGGAGGAGCCCAGCAGTGTACCTCTTCTGAACATTCATGAAATTTAATGACAAATTTAATGAAAAGAAAATTAATTTATCAAAAGTAATTCCCCAAAATGGAAACATGGTTTTTTGATGGTGGTGGTGGTGGTGGTGACAGTTGTTTTTTTTGTTTTGGTTTGGGTTTTTTTTTTGTCGGTCGTGGGGCTTGAACTCTGGGCCTGGACGCTGTCCCTGCGCTCTTCATCTCAAGGCTAGCACTCTACCACTTGAGCCACAGCGCCACTTCTGGTTTTCTAGTGGTTTATTGGAGATAAGAGTCTCACAGACTTTCCTTCCCAGGCTGGCTTTGAACCGTGATCCTCAGATCTCAGCCTCCTGAGTAGCTAGGATTACAGGCGTGAGCCACCGGCGCCTGGCTGACAGTTGTTTTTGCTTTTGAGTTTTTTTGTCTTTTGGGGGACAGGGGACAAAGAAGGGTGCAGAAATGGAGGAAGGAAGGATGAACAAATGCAGGCATGGTACTCAGCAGACACTGTGGAAATGAATGATGCAACTTGGGACAGGAGGGGACACTGGGGGCCAAGTGAAGGAAGGGGTGACATTGTCCAAACTAGAAATGTGCTCATTGTGAGATGGTGACCACTGTGCAACACCTTCATAATAACAACAGAATTATCTTTTTAAAAAACGCTTCCCTGAAGTGGCAGGGGCAGGAGAAGGGAGAGGGAAAGTGGGCAAATGCTGGCATGCAACAACATACATATGTGAGCGTGGACGCGGGTGGCTTGAGAGCCTGCGTGGGCTGGAGAGGTGAGGAGAGTGACGGGAGAGCCACGGAGCTGGCACTGAACTCACAAACTGACAGGGTGAACTCAAACCCTTGGTGCTGCTTCAAAACAAAAAGTAAGGAAATAAAGCCCTGCCGCCCCTGCCCAGCTCCTGTCCACTCTCTCCCTGTCCACCGGGAGTAGCTTTTCCGACCCCTTCATGGAGTCTACACAGGCTCTGGGCTCAGCCATCAGGAGCATTCACCTCAGATGGCAGGCGTAAGCCACCAGGGTCGTCGCTACCCACAAATCAGAGCCCCTGGGAGCACAGAGCTGGGCTGTGTTTCATTCACAGTAACTCGTTCATTCATTATACAGCTTACAACCAAGCCAGAGGCGTGGCTCAAGCAGTGCCTAAATTCAAACTCCAGCACATGGGAGGGCACACGGGTGGGAGGGGGGCAGACAGAACCTCTTAAAGGTAGACCCCAGGAACAGCTAAATACAAGAGCTTAAGAGGGCAAGGCCTGGGCACAGAGATCACCCTGTCATCTCCTGGCTCCTGGGCCAGACCCCCTGGCGGCCAGTACCTGGGAAGCTCCCAAGCCCTAACTCCTACTAAGTTTTTATGGAGAATTCACAAATTCAACTCAACCCCAGGACCCGCCCCTCCTCACAGAGGAGTGTAGAGGATATACAGGGTAGGGCTGAAGTTCCTGCCCAAGATGCCAGTTCCACCTGGAAGCTATCTAAAGGCCCTGAGCACCAACCACCTCATGATCTACAAAGACAAGGGTCTTAGGAGCCACTATCAGGAGAACAATCATCCTCTGCCCTACCTGGAAAAACTGTCTGAGCTCATGGTCACATGGCCCTGTGGCACATGCGCGCACGCACACGCACACGCGCGCGCGCGCGCACACACACACACACACACACACACACACACACACACACGGGTAAAATAAACGGTGTATGAATGCAACTGGCACTAACAGGGGCACCTATCCCAAGCTTAGGAGAAATCCAATGCATAAACACACAAGTCATTTGCGAGTAGCACAGGGCACAGGTCAAGATCAGCCAGCTAGAACACCTTCCTCTGCCCTGTAGCCAACCTGCAGGCCTTCAGTCACACTTTAAGCCTACCAAAACAGACCTGCCCGCGGGGCCTGCTCCAGGAACAGTAGCGTGGCGGAGCTTAGCACGTCTGCTGACTCACAGGACGCTGCAAGCTAACTCTCCACAAGCCCCACAGGCCCGGATTCCTGCAGCCTGGCTGTCATGCCTAGAACCCAGGGTCCTCTGCTGCCCACTGGATGAACACCACCAGATCTCCACCACCTACAACAAAGCCCAGCCCCCTCCGTTCATCCCCAGGGATTCCTAATGGCCTCCAAGACCCATGGCCTGAGGCCTAGGGCAGCACACAGGGGGAAAGGAAGCCTCCCAGCCAGCCTACCTTCCTGTTACCATGGTGGTGAAGCCCAGTTGAGACTGTGGAAGATGCGTCCTGGTTCCAACAGCCTGGTGGATGGAAGCCCAGCATCCTTCCCTGGGCCCCGTGAGTTTCTGGCCAGCCACCAGCCTCCCCGTGGCTGCCAGCCGCCGGGTAGCTGCCTGTCTCCGGAGCTCCCTGAGGCATAGAGCCTTGACAAGCAGTTTCATCCTGCAGTAACAAAGCCGGGCAGGTTTCTGCAAGCACAAGGCTTAGCTCCCGTGTCCCCCGCACCGGCTCAGCCAATGTCCTGATCCTGTCCTGATCCCACACGGGCCTCCCAATCCCACTGGCCTCCTTCTCCCTCTACCCACAGTGAGTCAATGAGTAGGCCGTCTTCCGGAAACAAAGGATGTAAGGAATTCATGACTGGGTCTGAAGTTACATAGCCCAAAGCCACACAACCTGAAGCAGTCACACAGCCCAGCTCTCAGGAGGAAACAGGGATGACGGAAGGAAGAACGGGCACCTTCTGCAGGACAAGGAGGATCGGCCGAGAGCCCCTTCTCCAGCAATGTCAAGTCTCACACAGCTTGCCCATGCCTGGTTTCTGCCCAATAGGAACACAGGTTCTAGCGAGGCCCAACACCTCTCAGTGTTGGCTGTCAGCAGGGCTGGGAGGCTGCCAAGTGGCACAAAGGTCATGGTCCAGCAGGCAGGCTGAGCAAAGGCAGAGGCTGAAGCCATGAGTCAGGTGCCAGGACATCAGAGGAAATGCCAGTCTCTGGTCCTCCCCTTCCTGCCTGGAATTCTGCAGGTAGGGGCTTGTGATGTTTATTCTTTAGAAAACATCAAAGGCAGCCAGGAGTGATGCCTACTAGGGAGACAGAAACAGGAGCTCACTCATGAGTTCAAGGCTAGCCCAGGCAAAGTTAAGGAGAACCAGTATCAAAAATAAAACACACACACACACCATAATAAAAATAAAAATTAAAAAAAAAACACAGGGCTATGGGCCTGGCTCGAGTGGTGGTACACTTGCCTGGCATGGGGGTGGGGGGGGCATCAAAGGCTTACAGATTAGGGGGGAGAGGAAAGAGGAGGAAGAGGAGACAAATCCTCATGTCCCCACCCCGTAGCTTCTAAAACAGTCAGCTGGGAGCCCTCTGGTTTCCCTCTACTCCGAGCTGCTCCCTGCAAGTCAGGCTGCTTTGCAGGAAACCCAGACTGCAGAGCTAGGCACCCATTAACAACTTAGCATCCCCTCAACTGACACATGTCTTTTAAGAACAACCACAGCTACTTAGAAGAAGGAGGCTCAAAGTTCCAGACCAGGGCTGGGAAGGTGGCTTAGTGGTAGAGTGCTCACCTAGCATGTTAAGCCCCAGGACTGGCAAAAAAAAAAAAAAAAGTTCCAGACCAGCCCAGGCAAAAGTTAAGGAGACTGTCTCAAAAACAAGCCAGAAGCCAGGTGCCAGTGGCTCACATCGTAATCCTAGGTGCTCAGGAGGCTGAGTTAGAAGGATCAAGGTTCAAAGCCTGCCCAGGTAACAAAGTCTGTGAGACTCTTATATCTAATTAATCACAGGAAGCTGGAAGTGGCACTGTGGCCAAGTGGTAGAGCGCTTGCCTTGAGCACAAAATGCTTAGGAATACAACACTGGTACTCAGTAGATACTATACTGAAAATGAACACAACTTGGGGACAGAAATGGGAGTGAAAACTGAGAGAGAGTGAAGGAAGAGGTAACACTGTCCAAAAAGAAATGTATTCAGCCAGGTGTATTCATGCCTGTAAGCCCAGATACTCAGGAAGCTAAGACCTGAGACCACAGTTCAAAGCTATGCGTGAACAAGAGTTAAAGTCAGAGAGACTGTTACTTCAACCACCAGAAAACTGGAAGTGGTATTGTGGTTCAAAGTAGTAGAGTGCTAGCCTTGAACAAAAAAGCTCAGGGACAGCACCCAGGCCCCAAGTTCAAGCCCCATCTCTCTCTCTCTCTCTCTCTCTCTCTCTCTCTCTCTCTCACACACACACACACACACACACACACACACACACACACACACAAATAATGTATTCATTATCTGATTTATGAAACGGTAATCCCTCTGTATATCACAATGACTTTTAAACCATGTTTAAGGACAGTGCCCAAGCCCAGAGTTCAAGCCCCTAGACTGGAAGAAAAAAAATGGCCAGAAGCCAGGTGCCAGTATCTCAAGCCTATCATCTTACTCAGAGTCCTGAGATCTGGAGGACTGCAGTTTGAAGCCTGCTCAGGCAGAAAAACTCCTTCTAGACCCTATCTTCTAAAAGGCAACCTCGGGGCTGGGAAGGTGGCTCAGTGGTAGAATGCTTGACTTGCATGCATGAGGCCCAAGGTTCAAATCTTCAGCACCACATAAGCAGAAAAAGCCGGAAGTGGCGCTGCAGCTCAAGCGGTAGAGCACTAGCCTTGAGCTGAAAGAGCTGAGGGGCAGCGCCCAGGCTCAGAGTTCAGGCCCCATGACCGACAAAAATTAATAAATAAATAATAAAAAGCAACCTGACACCAGGCACCAGTGGCTCACGCCTCTAATCCTAGCTGCTCAGGAGACAGAGATCTGAGGATTGTGGTTCAAAGCGAGCCCAGGCAGAAAAATCCCTAGTAGACTCTTATCCCCAGTTAACCACTAAAAACCAGGAGTGGCGCTTTTGACTCAAGCACAAAGAGGTTCAGAGGCAGTGCCCAGGCCTTAACTTAAAGCTCCACAGCCAAGAAATAAAATTAAAAGCAACCAGAGAGCTGGACACCAGTGGCTTGCACCTGTAATCCTAGCTACTCAAGCAGCTGAGATCTTAAGACCACGGCTGAAGAGCAAAAGAGCTCAGGGACACGCCCAGAACCTGAGTTCAAACCCTACAACCAACCAAAATAAAAAACAAAAAATCTGGGCTGGGGATGTAAGTCAGAAGCAGAGAATGTGCTCAGCATCTACAATGCTGATTCAATCCCCAGTACTGCAATAATTAATTAATTTTAAAAAAATACCACACCAGGTGCTAGTGGCTCATGACTGTAATCCTACTTACTCAGGAGGCTGAGATCTGAGGATGGCAGTTTGAAGCCAGCTCAAGCAGGAAAATCTATGAGACTCTTTTTTTTTTGGTCTGGTCATGGGGCCTGAACTCTGGGCCTGGGCGCTGTCTCTCAGCTCTTCAGCTCAAGGCTAGCACTCTACCATTGCAGCCACAGCACCACTTCTGGCTTTTTCGCTTATGTGGTGCTGAGGAATCGAACCCAGGGCCTCATGCATGCAAGGCAAGCGCTCTACCACTGAGCCACCTTCCCAGAACCTCTCTGAGACTCTTATCTCCAATTAATCACCAAAACAAAAAAAAAGTGGTGTTGTGGCTCATGTGGTAGAGTGTTAGCCTTGAGCAAAAAGGAGCTCAGGGACAGCACTCAGGCCCAAAGTTCAAGTGCAATGACTGGCAAAAAAATAAAAATAAAAAAATAATATATACATACATATATATATATATATATAATTAAAAACACGGTCAGTATAGTGGTGCCCACCAATAGGTCTAGCTACTCAGGAGGTTGAGATAGACACATCAGGGATTCAAGGAGTTCAAAGCCAGCCAGGGGAATATAGGGAGGCCTTGTCTCAAAATAAATAAAACCAGGAGCCAACTGAAAACTGGAGGATAAAGATTCAAAACCAGCTGGGCAGAAAAGTCTGAGAAACTATATCTTCAATTAAATAGCAAAAAGCCAAACTGGAGGTATGGCTCAAATGGTACAGTGCAAGCCCTGAACAAAAAAAGCCACGCAAAAGTGCAAGGCCTTGAGTTCAAGCCCCAGTGCTGAAAATAAATAACTCCCATCCAAAACATACATCCAGTGACTGTTGGCATTTCCTTCATTATGTCCTACACCTTTTGAAATCTGCAGGTATAAAACCTCATTCATGTGAGAGACTGAGGATAAGCTCAATCTTCAAGCACCAGTTATAGAGATAAAGCAGCTGGATGGCCAGGGGCTGAAAGGTCACTGGCCAAAGAGGAAGGAGGCACACACGCAGCGAGGCTCAGAGGCACTGTGCTCTTTCATCACGACACCACCAACACCAGATTCCAGAGGAAGCTGCAGGCCCGACCTGAGAAGGACAACTTTGAGGCTAAACGGTACGTGGGCTGAGGGTCCTACACTGCCACAACCAGATGGCCATTTCTCCAAATTTGGGGACCTGGACACTTAACATAAGTACAGTTTATTGTATTTACCACAATTATTATTTTTAATTAAAAATCTTTTAGAAAGCAAGCTTAGAGCTGAGCATGTAGCTCAGTGGTAGAGTGCTTGCCTACCATGTATAAGGCCCAGCATTGTAATAAATACAAACACACACAAACACAAACACACACACACACACAATTATCAGTTAGGTATTGGTAGCTTACATCTGTAATCCTATCTACTCAGAAAGTCAAAATCTGGGGGTGGTAGTTCAAAGCCAACCTAGACAGACAAACTTGTGAAGCTCTTATTTCCAATTAACCAGCAAAAAGCTGGAAGCAGAGGGTTGGCTGAAGTGACAGAGCACAGGCTTGAATGAAAAAGCCAATCAAGCCAGATGCTGGTGGCTCACACCCGTAATCCTAGCTACTCCAGAGGCTGAGATATGAGGATTGCCATTCAAAGCCAGCCTGGGCAATAAAATCTACGAGACTCTTATCAGCAATAAACAACTGAGAAAAAGCTGGAACTGGCCCTGTGGCTCAAGTGGTAGAGTGCTAGCCTTGAACAAAAGCAGCTCAGGGACAGAGTACAGAGTTCAAGCACCAGGAAGGAAGGAGGGAAGGAGGGAAGAAGGGAAGGAGGGAAGGGAAGGAAGAAAGGAAGGGAAGGAGGGAGGGAGGGAGGAAAAGAAAGAGAAAAAGCCAATCAATAATGCAATGCCCAGAGTTCAAGCCCTAGTGCCAACATATGCACAACCACATACACACAGAAGCAATGCAGCTAGGTTGGTTTCTCAAAATCAGATTCTATGAAGTTGGATTACAGCTGTTCACACCTGTAATCCTAGCTACTCAGGAGGCTGAGATCTAAGGATCACAGATCACAGCAGGGTGCCAGTGGCTCATGCCTGTAAACCTAGCTACTCAGGAGGCCGAGACCTGAGGATCACGGTTCAAAGCCAGCCCAGGCAGGAAAGTCCGTGAGACTCTTATCTCCAATTAACTACCAGAAAACTGGAAGTGGCGCTGTGGTTCAAGTGGTAGAGCACTCATCTTGAGCAGAAGAGCTGAGGGACAGAACCC